AAACATCCTAGAGTATGTTTAACATATGTAGGTTACCAGTATTAAAAATATAATTACTTTGCCTGTAGTGATGCCTATAGAATGACTCATATCTTTCTAATTTGTCTAGTTATTTATACTGCCCAAAGCTTATAAACTACTTCTAGGCAAGACCCCACTTTTAATTTACTTTTATTGCATTTTCTAGAGAGTAGAAATATAACAATTGTTAGTGAATAAATGAATTAGAATTCAGCATGAGCTGATCATTGAACCGTAAAACTACAAAGAGCAAAGAAGCTCTTTTTGATGACTCAGAAGTTTCTTCAGGATCCTGAAAATCATCTTCTCGAATATCAGGCATTATTGCTCCACAGATGTGTGGAGGGGCCAGTTAAAATAGACAAAGATGAGTGGTTGTGTGAATGGCAGAAATATAGGACCTCACTGCTGAGGCTCTAGATAGCATCCTCTACAAGCAGCAAGGGGCCTCTTCCTGAATAGCAGCTGCCAAGTACTCTTTTCTGTTGTTCACAGTTAAGCAGCATCAACTAAAGATGAACCTAAATCTAGTGGCCCAGCAAATCGTCTCTTCGACGTATACCTGCTAGAAGTGTGTGCATGTGTGCAACATGGACATGCCCTCCAAAGCCCACAGCAGCACTATTTGTAGGAGTTCCCCAACTGTAAACTCTTCAAATGCCCATCAGCAGTTGAATGGAGAGGTAAATTGTGATATATATAAACATTTGAATCAATGAACTACATCCAACCACAAGAAGTTGGGTGAATTTCACAAAATAATGTTGAATGAAGGAAGCCAGATAAAAGAGTATATATGCAGAATTATTCCGTTTATGTAAAGTTGAAAGATTCTATTTAAAGTTGAAAAAAAAAAACACCAGACAATACCAATTTTTGCTGCTTAATCTCAGGAAAGCGGTTTCCCCGGGATGGGGCTGAAGCATAATAGAAGGGCAGGTAGGGAGGGCCTTTCAGGGGTAGTCAATCTTGATTTGGGTGCTGGGTGCATTCAGTTCATAAAAATTTAGCAAAATGCATTTTTCTGATGTATTTCATTGTGCAGTAAAAAGGGCAAATGTTGCAGCTGAACAAAATCATTGAAGTCTTGCTTCACTGCTACTAATCCCCAGAACCTTGACCTTTTCTCCTTCTGCAATCCGTGGTCTTAACCAAGATACAAAAAGAGAAAGAAAAGAGGAAAGCACAAGATGTGACGTGTGTGTGTGTGTGTGTGTGTGTGTGTGTGTGTGTGTGTGTGTGTGTGTAGAGTTGGGAGGAAGGAGGAGGAAAAGGCCACCAAAGAAAAGTATGGTACTTGGAAGCCACTATTCAGTTTCTTTAATATGTCATAAAATGACCTTCTATCTTTTATCCAAATTCTTTCTCCTCCTTGCATTTAAGCACAGATTTTTCTAAGACTAAATTTCCTTTGAGGCAAATGAGTGAGGAATATGGATTATATTGATTACATTGGGTCATAATTTAAGATCATTATACTGTGTCACAAAATCAGGCCTTCCAACATATGGTAATTATAGTTGTAAATGTCCACTTAAAAATTATTTCAAAGGTCATGATTCTTGAATGGAAGGGACATAGTGCAGACAGCCCCAAGATTTTATTCTTTATATCGTAAAACCTTGCATAAAGAACAGTAGAAAGGAAGGAGTGTATAATGGCTTCAACTGAGCGTGGAGTCTGGCTGCAACGGAGATCAGATGATAGCTTGGTAACAGACTCACATGGTTAAAAAAAAAACACACACATTTGCAAAGAAGAAATTAGAATCAAAGAAAAAAATTTCAAACCTTGAGCTTTAAAAAATATAAATCATCTAAGCGCAGTGCTTTTCTATGGCTCAGCATCTGTCTTGCGGAGATATCATTACACATCGGGCGGCTGAAAGCCTTTTGCTTTCCTTGTGCTTCTCAAGAGAGTTGGGTGTAATTGCTCTGCATGCCACATACCCCGTTCTGCCTCATCGCTTAAATCTTCCATATTTCAGCCTGTGCTTTTTTTCTGTTAAAATATTCAAACGTTATTCAGTTTCAGTTCCTTTCTGAGTGCTGTGACAAACAACTGGATGGAAGGATTACGTTAAATAAAAATTTTTGTAATTTTGGTGGGATTTTCTGCAATAAAACAATTTACAAAGCATTCAGACACAGGAAAGATTCACATTTTGAAAATCTAGTCCATGCTAGTTCAAAAAATGTGCATAGACCTGTGGCTTAATGCAACTGAGGAGTGGGTGACTGTGCCGAACGTGGAAAATGGCCACCTTATCTGCCGTCTGGAGAAAGGAGTTCCTCTTTGTTACCTGTGTAAATTAAGGCTGAATTCTCTGCTCCTTCGTATGATGGCTGTGGCTGTTTTTCCCTGGATCTATATATGACACAGTAATTTAGAGTCAAGATCCTTCTTAAAGCTTAACAATCATTTTTCAAGGAAGTTGCTCTTGCTCTTCCGCATCTGTGATTTTACAGCCTGTGTCACATGACTACTGGGTTGAAACAGACGGGGTAGCTGGAGTAACGATCAAACATACTGGTTTATGCTAATATTCCTGGTTACTATAAAACCTTGATATACAAATATGAAGACTATCCCTCACTAGCCTGTTGAGTCCAATAAGTAGTTTCTTAGCGGGGAGGACCTTTTCTTTATTGCCCTGGGCAAAAGTCCATCAGCAAATAGGACAACAATACTGTATGCTTTATAAATATTTCTTTTAAAAAGTATTTCTCACTAATCCTGTCCCCCTTACAAAAATGTTTAGTAAAACCAGTTCTTCCGAGGTCAAATTGGGGTTTTATTGATGTAAGTTGGAGAGCTCTATTTCTTGGTTTGTAGGCCATAAAAACTACGTTTTAATAGGACAGCTGGCACCCTAAAATATTCAGAGTAATTTCATAACTTCAGCTGATTAATGGCATGTGGTGTTTCCTTTCCTACATCTCTCCGCGGAGTCAGAGCTGTGACTTGTTCGTCCTCACAGCATGCTCCCGAGGAAAATGGAGAGCCGAGATCCGTCCCGGGGCAGCTGGTGCGCTGGGCGATTAAGTGGCTACTGCGCGCCTCCTGGCTTGGGAGCCCAGAGCACTCACCACGTGCTGCTGCATTTATGCCATTTTATGACATCCCTAAGAAGTACACAAAGTGTTTACTTTCATGCTGCTGTTAAAACACTGAACCTAAGATCTTACAGGCTTTAAAGATCCTTCAGAAGGTTACTTTCTGTAGCAATGTAAGTAATTAGGCTTACAGAGGCCAGGCTAGCAGAAAACACTAAGTACCAGGAAAAAATACTATTGAAAGACTAGGGTATCAAATTGTGTTGAGTAGATAGGTTTTCTTCTATTATTGTCCCTTAAAATCCCATTAATGGAAATGGTGCTCACATAACTGTCCTCCCTGTTTTGATTTCGGAAACAGAAGATAGCATAGCCTAAATTAAAAACAGTAAAAATGTAAGAAGATGTGGACTTAAATTTTTGTTCCATTTTATAATCCCTTAACCATTTTGGATTTCAACGTTCCCAAATGAGAAATGAGGATTTTTACTCTTTTATGTAAATGACGGATACATAAGTGAGGTAGCATATTGCCTGCATTCGGATTACTCAAGGGAAATGTGCTATTAAAACCACTGCTATCACTGTGCCACAGTACCTGCTATCACTGTGCCACAGTACCTGCTAACTCTGGGTGAAACGGTCTCATCTCAGTGAGCTGGGATCAGAGCAGAGGATGGCCTGTGTCTTGTCCACCCCTCCTCCATCCCGTGTTGGGGCACCTCAACCCTTCCCACTATCTCCAATGTCTTTCCCTTCCTTGTGTTGATTGATTTATTTTCTCAAGACCCTTGATGTAAAAAATGAAAATGAAAACAGAGCGAGACAAACATTTCTCCTGGTCTGATGTCCTTCGCTGCTCTCCTCCCATTCTCAAAACTTGCTCCTGGAAAGAGCTGCTCGTGCTCATCATCTGCACTGCTTGTCTACACCGACTTCCCAATCCTCTTCCACCCTTCCAGGCTCAGGTCTCTCCCCACACCTCAGTGGGTTTGCTCTCGCCAGAGGCACCAGCATTTCCCATGTTGCTGAATCCAGTGGTCGCAGGGCATCCAGGTTTGATCTCAATACCACTCCTGCAACCCTCCTAGGTTTCTGTCTTAGCTTTTCCTTTAAACCCATCTTTCAGAACACCTAAATAAGAAACACCATCATGTTTCTGGTCCTTAAAGCAACTCAAGGATGGCCAGTTGTATACAGAAGAAATCCTAATCTTCTTAGCATGGCACAAAGCATCCTCTGACGTGTTGCTGTGTATACTTAACAATATTGGTTGTGTGTCCCTCTCATAGACTTATGTCACATGTTTCTGTTTGTAAATATACAGTTCCCCCTGCCTATTATACACCCTCCTTCCACACTTGGTAGACACTTATAGGTCCTTCAAAAATTCTCTCCTCTGGGAAGACTTCTCAGAATAACGAATGATAGTTGATACTATGCTGAACTGTTTGCGTTGCTAACATTATTTAAGCCTTAAACTAGCCCCCCAGTGTAGGTACTATAATTAGCTCCATATTCAGGCAGGTCCAAGAAGCTTAACTCAGCCATCCCAGGTCACATAGCAAGAAACTGAGCTTGAGCTTTTGAATTGCTTCATCAAAACAACACTTTGAAATGCAATAGATGCGTTTTTACTTTGGCTATTTCATAGGGACTGTTTCTTAACAAAATTCAATTCATCATTCTTAGATGTACCTTCCCAACATGTCTAAACCTGAGTTAGGCATGTCTTCCCCTGTGCTCCTTACATTTCTTCAGCCTCAGTGCTCAGGACTCTGCATTATAATTTCCTAATTGTGTACATCTTTTCCTGTTAAGATAAGATATTTTTAATTAAGGGCAGGACCTTTGTGGCCCCATGGCCTCACACTGTACATTCACACACAGAAAACACTGAAAACATGATGGTGAGGAGATAAAACAAGAAAGGCAGCACTGGCAGTGGCCACCAACAGGCTGAAGTGGCCTGTTTGGTTCCTTCCCCTCGCTCTATTATCCTTCCTGTAGGTTCTTTCCAATGTGGGATCAGCCATATTAATCAGCACAAACAATTGTTCCAATTTCAGATGAGTTATATGACTGATGAAGATGAAGAGGAGAGAAGACAGGTCACATCAGGTTTTCTATTGAAAACAAAATCATAAAAAGCATGTGGCTCTTGATGAAGTGTATGCTCCCAACTTCTTAAGACTGAAAAAGCATAATCAACTATAAATTCTATGCAACACATGAAAGGCATAAGCTTTGCAGATGTGTATGTCTTTGAAGGCAACACAGCAGCCAATTTACATGTTTACCTGTTACGTTAGCCTAGTTGACCAGGGCAAATTCTCATCCCATTTCAAAAAACACTTGATTTTCAAATAATTTCACACTTATATAAGAGTGGCAAAGACAGTACAAAGAGTTCTTACATACCCTTGACCCATATGTTAGCAACTTACATAACCACAGAACATTTATCAACACTAAGAAATTAACCTTGGTCAAATACTTTAAACAACAGTGCAGAACTTACTTGGAATTCCCTGTTGTTTGCATGAATATTTTTTTTCTGTTTTAGGATTCCACCCAGGATCCACATTATATTTCACTGTCATATCTTCTTAGGCTGCAAGGTTTCTCAAACATTCTTTGTTTGAAATGACTTTGACAGTTTTAAGGAGACCTGGGCAGGTAGTTTCTAAAGAGTCCCTCAATTTAGGATTGTCTGATGTTTTCTCATGTCTAGACTGAGGTTACAGATGTTTCTGGAAGAATGTCATGGAGATGATATGCTCGTACCATCATATCAGGGGGTATATGATATTAATGTGCCTCCATTTGGGTGACCTTAATTGTACTCGAGTAAGGGGTGTCTGCCAGATTTTGTCTCTGTAAAGTTACAATGTTTCTCTTTTCTTACACCATGATTAGAAGCAAGTCACTAATCCCAGATGACATGCCAGAAGAGAATTAAGCTTTATCTGAGATGGGGCAGTATCAAATAATTTGAAGGCACATGTTAAAGCCATCACAGTAATTTAAGAAAGAGTTTGAGGGGAGATACTTGGAGGCTATGCAAATATCCTAGTTCTTAAAGTTGCACATACAAATTTTAGCATTCAGTAGTAGATCTTGCCTGGCACAATTATAATCTCAGTGTTTCAGTGGTGATTTTCTATTTCCCTAATTTATTATTCTATTATTCCCATTTCTTTACATTATTTATTTGGGATTGTTCTGTGAGGAAGAGTTGTCACTTCTCCATTTTTTTCTCAATCACTTGTATATGAGTATGGTTGGGTGGCTATTCGTTTCATTCTTTGGGTTATAATCCAACACTATGACGTATTTTATTGCTCAGCTGGTTCCTGCTTTGGCCATAGGGGGCTCTTGGTTGACTCCTCTACTGTTTCAAAATGCCTTTGTCTTTCTTTCTTTTTTTTTTTTAAAGCTCTTCTTGTCTTTACTTCTCTGGCTCCACAAAAAATACTTAAGTCTCACTTGCGTTTTCCCTGAGTCAGCTCTAGAATCAGCCATTTTTCCAAAGTGCTGTGATTTGCTTCATTTGAGATGGTTTTAAAAATGAAAATCTTAGCGTTGGGTTTGCTTGGTGTTGCTGGTATGTTGCAGTTTCTAGGCTCTTCTAGGGTAGCTCATAAGACAGAGCTGAGAAATATATGTACATAAAGGAAACCAGGTGTGCACATGTGTATATTTAGTACTTATGTAGGTATCTTAAGTAACCACAGAATCATATATATATCCATCCATGTATCTATGTGTCTACTGATGTATCTATATATCTATCTTCCATCCTAAAATAAACTGAGTTCATACCTATACATATTACTCCAATCTCACGCCATAGGGTTTGTTCTGGCCACTCCCTTTTGTTTATTTGTATCTTCTTTCTCTGACAGTGTGACATTATCTATGATTAATGTCCTTATTTGTTCCATCTTAGTACACATACAACTAGTATCAGTGTAAAGACCACACTTGAAGTTCGAGGTATGGGAGACACATATTTTGTACTGAGTCTCCACACTGGGGTCTGGAAACCCCGCCATGCTCTGTCCCATTAAGTAATTCCTTGCCAGGCAAGAATCATGCATTTTCCAAGTATCATTCCTGAGTACACTTGTGGTAGATTGTAGAGTTGTTCAATTTTTGCATATTTTGACAAAAAGGGCTTATTAGACACACTATAAAGACTCACATTAATCAACATATTTTATGCAAAACAGTATGGAAATAGGACAGCAAACAAAATAGCATGCGTATACATTTCTCATCGTAGAAATAATCTAAATCATTCTTTTGTTAATATCAGAGTAAAAAGTACTCCATAGTCACACGACTGTGTGTGAGTATGTTAGGCATACCCCATCTTCTACTCTGCCTACTAGTGAGCAAGTGCACTGAGCTGAATATAAGGAAAGCCTGACAATTAAATCATTAACCTTTCAGTACAGGGAAACAGAATTATAAACAAAGAAAAAAACACCAGTCACTGGTCTTAGATAAATTCCATAATTTCTCGGCCACCTTTGTTATTAAGAATCAGTGTAACCGTGTCTCATATCTGATTCAGTCCTCCCCCGGATCCCCACCCAGTGAGCTACAAATGTGACTTCTGGTCCAGAATGGGGTGGGCGGGGGGCATGCTTTCTGCTCACTGCTCCACAATTCCTTTTGGGTCCAGGTCTGCCGAGCGGAGGCCAGGGTGGAGGGTTCGAAGAACTGATTGTCTGGGAAACCAGATGAATTTCAGGGTGGGCCTCTGTTGTTTGGTCTGAATCTAGACCTGTTCAAAGCTAATGGCTTTCTGTAAGGATGACGAGCATCGTGAGGTGGTCAGAAATATATGAAATTCTGGCCTAAAAGTAACAATTTTGATGAACTGGACCAATCAGATCTCTTGCTGGGAGTCTGAACTTGAGACAGAGAGGGCTGACCATGTGTGATGACCCAAAGCCAAACTTCCCATGGAGAAAAACAGACAGAGTATTTGTTGCCCTAAGGGCAGAGCTTCAACGGTGATTAAACGTTTTCCCTCAAAGGTCTGGTAGCTCATTCCTTCCCACCCTCCACAGTCTCACTCAGATTTACAACTTTCACTCTTATGAAAATGCCAGGAACTTTACTAGGCCTAAGAAGCAAAGAGGGCAGGGATTTTTGTTCACTTTGTTCACTGACTTATCCCACATGCCTAGACAGTGCCACACACATGCTCGGCACCGGACAAATGAGTGAGAATTGTACTGCATGTCTGCCTTTGTATTTCTAGCCAGCCAGCCCTCACTTCCGACCTCTAGAAGCGCACCTGCAACTGCTGTTATATGTCTCTTCTCAGTCTCCAGCACATCACCAGTGACACACCCGACACTGAGCTGGCGATGTTCTAATTCAGATAAGAGCTCTGTGCTGTTTCCTGGCTTGGTGGAAACTGTACATCCAAAGACATGAGCCTGAGACCAAGAGTCGTCCCTGAGACTCGCTCACTATGTCCTTAAATCCAAACTCACCAAGTCCCTGCTGACTTGACTTCCCAAATCGCTCTCCGATCCACCACTGCCTCCAGCTGAAAAACCTTCAGTGGCTTCCGAGTGTTCTTAGGTCAAAGGTAGGCATTCTTAGCACGCTTCTCACGGTGCCGCATGGTCTTCCCCCTGCTTACTTTTCTATGCTCACTTTACACTTTACCCTGGGCTTCCTGCATTTCTGCGTTCGGTCATGCTGAAGGCTTTCCCTGCCCTCTGGAATGCTCTCCTATTAACACCTCTATGAAGTTCACTGCTGCTCATCCTTCACAGCTTAGTTCATGGATTTATCCTTGCTCACCTCCCTGGACCCCTATCTGGGTCATGGTCTTCAATGAACTCCAAAAACGGTGTTCTTGCCTGAAGAAAGTCATCTCAATTTGTAAATGTTTATGAATTGGTGTGACTATCTGATTATGGCCAACTCCTCCATTCAGGGGTAAACTCCATGAGAGCAGAGAGCCTAACTGTTTATTCTTGTCCACTTAGTGCCTGACCCACTGTCTTGCACACAGTAGGGACTCAAAGAGCTTGAATGAATGGACAATCAGATAGTAAAAGTGCTTTGGGAAGAATGGAAAATTATATGGACTATCCAAACAGAGAACAGATGTGATGTGTAAAACTTGAATCCAAAAGGAATGAGAGCAATGAAAACTCCAGTGGAGCCTGGTTTGGTGCTGGGTACACGTGAGGTAAAACTCACTGCCCCAACTCCTCATGACAAGTCTTACCACTGCTCACGGAAGAGGCTTTTTGCAATTCAACAACTGTGAGACACTGCATGAAACGGAAAACTGATTGTCACACATTTTTCTTAGAATCATGACAATCTAGTTTCCTATTGCCTGTGAAAGGATCTGAAGAAAAAAATGCTGTTAGTTTTCTCAAATTTTTGTTCTCTTGATTAAAAAAAGCCAAATGAGAGAGCACCCCCATGGTTAAGCCGTGGGCTATGGGCCAGGCACGAGCTCAGGCAGAGCCAAGGAGTGAGCTTCTCCCCTGGTTTGGGCATGTCTTCCCTCCAAACCTCACTTAAAAAAAAAACAAAACAAAACTGAGGGGTTATCTTGCAGAGTGCTATGAAAAACTGTAATAAAAGTAATTCTGAATTAGCACTTACAGAATGATACAATCAACAGCTCCTCAGTGTAAACCTGACCAGCCTTGGGCAAGTCATTCTGTGTTAGTTCAAAGGCAAAGAGACTCACACTAACTCATAAAAAGTCCTGAGTGCCAGAGTTTGGGTCACTTGTACATGGAATGAAGTTTTGGAAGAGCTCAGAGAAACCTTCTAAGAAAGTCTCAAATTTGTAAAATTTATTTTTATGGGCTTGTTCAATGAGGGGCAGAAGAAAATGACTCCCAATGCTGAGAAGGCTGCCCTCGGGTGGCATTCTGAGCGCACCGGTTGTTCCCCACCATGCTGTGCTCTCAGCTACCTACTTCCCAGGGTCGAAAACAGTGAGTCACTTCGTGAGGTCAGAGAACAAAGTCTACAGGTTGTATGAGTTTCCAAAGGCTGCTGTAACAAAATACCGAAAATTGAATGGTTTCTTAAAGCAGAAATGTATCATGTCACAGTTCCGGAGGCT